CAGAATTGCCCAGGGAGACCAGATAAGACTCCCCCCCAGCACAGGACACTGACTCTGACGCCCGGACTCCACCCCTGGCCATTCTCGAGCTTCAGGCAATGACCAAGGACCTTGACTTGAAGGGTCTAGGCTCCATGACCTTCAGGTTGAGGAAGGATGGGGGCCCTGACCTCTGTTCAGATTGGCCAAATCTGCCCCAGACTTCTGCATAGAACAACACAGACCCAAGTCAGGAGATGGGGATTTCCTGGCAGTCTCTCTGGTCTGCCCTGTGGATGCCTTTCCTCCCTGGTTAGACATGTCTGCTGAGAGCCTGGACCCTTAGACTTAGCATTTTCTTGACCGGCAGAGAGAGTGCAGAGAGCACCCAGGGATCCATGGGTTCTTCTCCTCCCCTTCTCCTTTGTAGACTACCCCAATGGCATCCGGCTCACATCTGCTGTCCCCGGAGCAGACATCAAAGTGTTAATAAACTTTAACGCTCCCAATCCTCAAGACCGGAAGAAGTTCACCGACGACCTGCGGGAGTCCATCGCGGAAGTGCAGGAGATGGAGAAGCACAGGATAGAGTGTAAGTCCCAGGCCCCCTGGAGAGGAAGAGCCAGCAGCCCCAGCATCTTCTGGGACTTGATGGACGCGGCCATTGGCTCCCATCTGGTGCCAGGGACTCTGGGGGCCCACAAAAGTGAGGTGCCCTGGTCTCACCTGGCCTTCCCACAGCCCTGTGACAGGGCAGCCCCCATACCCGGGCCAGAGGAGGTGGAGTGGGGAGGGCAGCAGAGGCCTCCGCATGAGAGTGAGGGCTTCCACGGCCCAGGCCCATCCTGCCTGTGGGACCACATGGCATGCCCTGAGAGAGCCTGGTTCCCCCGTCGCCCCACGAGTCGAGATTTCCCGGAGATCCGGAGCTGATCTCGTTGCACCTTGGTGTGCTTATTCTTCTTTCGTCTTCCATGTCAGGGAAGTCACCACCAAGCCCATCCTGTGGGTTTCACTGGACTTGATTATGATCTTTTCTCTCCTGGCTCCCAGCCTCACTCCCTGGAGACACACAACTACCCCCACCTTTGGGCCCCACACAAAGGGTGGGCAAGGTCGGGTTACCCCTTGCTCGTCCGCAGACCCAGGCCAGCCAGTCTCCTTGCCAGCCCTCAAGCCTGCAAAGTGACGGTCTTTCCTGCAGACCCCAAGACCCGTGCCTCTCCAGCCTCCCTTTCAGAGTTTCCTTCTGGCTCCCTTTTGTCAAAGGCAGCATTCACACCTTCTCTTTCTTTCCCAAGACAGCCGTGGGCCCTGACTTTTCCTCAGGCCAAACAGATGGCAGCTGGGTGCGATGCCAAGCCTGCACAGAGGGCCCAGGGCCTCACCCTCAAGGCTGTGTTTCTCTCTCTGTTTCAGCGGAGCTCGAGAAGCAGAAAGGCGTCGTGCGGCCCAGCATGTCCCAGTGCTCCAGCCTCAAAAAGGAGTCCGGCAACGGGACGCTGAGCCGAGCCTGCCTGGATGACAGCTACGCCAGCGGTGAGGGCCTCAAGCGCAGCGCCCTCAGCAGCTCCTTGCGGGACCTCTCCGAAGCGGGTAAGAGCGGGCCAGGACCCCCTTCCTAGCCCAGCACACGCAGGACTCAGACCGGGCAGCTGGGGCACGCGTTGCGTGCCGGGAAAGGACCGCAGTGGCGGCTGGTGGCGGCAGGTGGCGGCAGGGCTCGGACGGAGTGCCGTTGGGTTTCCCGTGACTGTCCCCAGACCGTAGTAGCATCTGACCACACAGAGAGGGCGTCCCGAAAAGGCCAGAGGAAACAGGATCCGGTTGTCAAGGCAGAACAGCCAGGAGGTTACCCCGATTCTCCCTTTCTTCTTCTAGGGGTTTTATTTATTCTTTTATTTATTTTCCGGAAACTGCTCTCACACAGAGCGAGCCAGGCCCCACTGATGGATGTGTCCCTTGTCCTCTGTGCTGCCGCGTCCCTGTGTTTTATGCTGATGAATGAAATGGAGTGAAGCCCTCGAAACTGTGTTTGGAGACCCCCCCTCTCCCACTGTCCCTGGTCTCATTTCCCTCACGGAGGTCTCCCTTCCTGGGAAACCCGGGCCCCCATCTGGCCCAGAGGCAGTGGCCGCAGCTGCCCCCTGGATGTCGGGGCAGTGGGGGGTGGGGGGGGAGGGGGCCCTGGCACAACCGTGGTTTTTGTTACTGTTTCTTTGTTTCTGTGTGTGTTTATTTGCTGCCAGCCTCTTAACCCCTAAGCAAGCAGCACCCCTCAAGCCTCCCAGATTGCCCAGGGGAGGAGGTGTGTCTAGAGTGTCAGAGAGCTTTTGGGGGCAGCTCGCCCGGCCGGGTCCCCTGGGCCAGCCGCCCGTGAGTGTTGTTTAGCCTGCTTTGCCTACAGTGCTGTCAGAGAAGCTGTGGAGGGACAGCCCCTGAAGCCCCCCAGTCACGTCTCAACAGGCAGCTTCTCCTGGGAGGAGGCTCCAGCTACAATGGAGCAGAGGTTACAGGACGTTGTCCCACAGAGGGCACGCGGCTCCGGGTGTCCCGGCTCTAGGAGCCTGATTGCAGGCCCTGGGTTGTCGGAAAAGACCCTCTCGGGCCAAGATCAGCCGCCTCCTCTCCAGGGGCCCGGCAGCCCCCTCCCCTTCTCGGGGCGTCACCCGCCCCACCCTGCCTCGGACATTACCTCGTGGCCAGCCCTGGGCCCCGCTACTAAAAGAGCCCGCTCATGACTCCATCCCACACCTGCCCCACCGGCCGCACTGCCTCCCTCCAGCTTACTCATTTCCCAGAAATTTTTTTTCTTTTTTTTCTTTTTTTTCTTTTTTTGAGTTGGAATTTTTTTGTCCTTATTTTGTCCTGTCATTTTTTTTTTCATAGTAAAAATCAGAAATCCATTGCCAGCATGAGGTTCACCCAGGGTTTCTCAACCCCAGCACCATTGATGTTTTGTGCCAGATAATTCCGTGCTGTTGGAGGGTGCTGTCCTGTGCACTGCAGGATGTTTACCAGCATCCCAGGCCTCTACTTATGAGATGCCAAGAGTATCTTCCCCCGCCCCCCCGCCCCGTGTCATAACAGACAATAATGTCTCCAGAAATTTCCAGGGGTCCTCTGGGGGGCAAAAATCACCCCTAGTTGGCAAAGTGCCACGGGTTGAGAACCACTGGTTTTCCCTATGGCTTGTTAAACCCAGCTAAACGTAATTGGACAGCTCTGGGCCTCTGTAGGCTGGTAGCCGGGACCTCTGTTTGGGTTTGTGCAGTGGCGTTAGGCCTGGCCTCTCTGTTCCCTGATGCAGTACCTGGAGGGCGGATGGGTCCCGTCCAGTCCCTCAGGTAACAGTGGCTCTGTTGAAACCGAGGCTCCCAGCGTGGCCAGCCACACCTAGGACTCCAGCTCCTGGGGGTCAGATAGAGCTGCACCCCCAGGCCTGTGTGAGGGACAGAGCGCTGAGGTTCAGCTGCTTTCCTTCTATCGTCGCTGTTGCCGTTGTTGTTTGGACATTCTGAACTAAGAAAAACTCTAGGGATTGAGTCTTCCCAGGAGGCCATGTGAAGAATCCCCCAGGAAGGCAGCCCCCTGTCCCCAGGAAGCCTGGAGGGTGTGTTTGAGTCCTGGCAGCTGCCAAGGCCCCAGACTGGGAGCCCTCCACGTGCAGTCTCCAGAGGGAGACAGGCCAATGTCGGCAACCATCCAGGAAGATGCTGGGCTCAGCACCCGAAGACGTACCCCGGACTGGGTCGGAGTGAAGCTCTCCGGAGGCATCGTCACTCTCCCCACCGTGGCCCTTACTAAGAGGGCTGCTGGAGAAGAGGCAAGGCCTCAGGGATACTCTCTCCCTTCGGGAAAGCTAGCGCTCAGTTGTTGGCACGTCACTGCTCTGGGGGCGTCTGCCCTGGACCTGCAATCACACATCATTCCGGGTGACGACACACCTCAGACGTGGATCTCCCCACCCCCCACCACCAATTCTCTCCACACGGTCTTCCTTCGTCCGGGATCCATGCTCATTTCAGTGGCACCAGAGCCCTATCGGCCTGCGATCAAGGGCCTGCGTGGACCGGGGACACAGGTGTGACTGGGGCCTTAACCCCTGGCCCAGATCAGTCAAGTCATGATGGACGCTATCCCCAAGCCCCCAAGGTCCTCCTGCCCCTCCCAGCCAAGCTGCCCAACATCAGTCTCCAGAGAGAGGATGTCTCCCAGAGGCCATGGGACCTGCCTGCACCTGTCATTGCTCTGGGGCCTAGCCAGAGACCTGCCATGTTCTGCCCCAGGGAACCCGGGAAGCCCTCTCAGGGGAGATTTGGTGGCTCCTGGTGGCCAGTGTCCAAAGCAGCACCTTCTCAGCCTCCAGCATTATTAAGGACCACAGGGTGGGACCCTGGGTTGAGAGCCCTTGCTGCATTCTGTGCCGATACCAAGAAGCAGGAAAAGGCTGTGAAGAGCCATGCTGGGAACTCCTTCCAGACGTGGTTACTGATCCTGGCCACAGTTGGCCTGGCAGGGCCTGATCAGGTTCTGGGAGAGGCACTGGGCGGGGCAGGGCTCCTCTGTGGCTGGTGCAGGACCCCCCCCCCCCCCCCCCCCCCCCCCCCCCCCCCGCCCCGCCAAGACAGAGGGAGCGTAGCAGGAGATAGAGTGCAGGTGAGGGATAGTGTGGGTGCATGGGCGAGAGCCACTTTCCCAGCATGCTTCACCTCCATTAGCACATGATGTGCACCTGTGTGCACACACCCAGACACAGGTCTATAGCGAGCAGGTGTCTGTGGGGTGTCCCCATGACTAGGGGCTCTGGGACTGGACTGCAGACAGCAGTGAGGTAGGGATACCTCACATCTCATGCTTATTTGGGAAATTGAAAAGATGGATTCTGAGAAACTTAGCATTACTCAAAGACATCCAAGTTAAAACTGTCCTAAGTCTTGGCCCACTTGGGGGCAGGAGGAGGAGGGTTTTGTTGTACTTCAGGTCAGATACCACACAGAGCCCCCAAACCTAGCTCCAGGCCTGGCCTAAGTCCCCTTGAGAGAAGCACATCAGTCGGAAGACATTGCTGGGCACTGGTGGGGCGGGCTGGCCTTACTGTGTCCCTGGTTTTCAGTTAGGGGAGCCCTCTAGGCTTCGAGGGGCCAGAGAGCTGATTTTAAAACAGCAGAGACAGCAGAGATCTGACTTCAGCATTTCTGCATGGTGCCACAAGATCCCGAGTATCTGATGCTCACATCTACCCTACTCAGAGGAAGGCACGTACCCATTTCACAGACGCAGAAACTGTGCTAAAGAATCAAAGGAGTGCCAGGTGGGGTTACCTCTTCAGCCAAAGAACCTCATTCTGCTCTATGTCCCTGGACCACTGTGTTGGGACAAAAAGCAGGAAGGGAAGATGGCCAGCCTTTCTTCTCATACGAGCTGAAAGATGAGGATATGTGACGACCCTCATCTTTGTTCCAGCTGGGAATAAGGGCCAGGTCCTACGTGGTTCTCCCTGGTCCTCAGCAACTGGTGGAAAACACTCTTGCCCTAATCTTCTGTGTGGCCCTGTCCTGAGCGAGCTCTGAAGCCCTCTCACACATGCCAGAGTCCAGCAAAGTTCCCAGCTGGGACTCAGGTTTGGGGGTTGGCAGGCCAAGCAAAGGGACCGAATGTCCCCCGAGTCCACTGTTGCATGCCCAAGATCAAGGCTCCGTCCCAGTACACTCAGACGCCACGGTGAGGCCTGAAGGACCCACAGACCCACTCTCTACCCCGCACAGGGCCAGCTTCTTGGCCACAGAGAGGCACGTAGCAGCCTTTCCATCTTTCAGGCTCCTGGGCTCACTCAGCCTGCATTCCACTCAGAAGACAGCATGGCCAAGCTTCCCAGCCCCAGAGATGGACAGGCAGACCTGGGTGTGAGTCCCGCTCGCTCACTGTGGAATTGGACAGTCGGTCCATGAGCCTCAGCCTCCACCTCCTCCTCCTCCTTGGCACAAAGGGACACCTGTACTGCATTGCTACGGGGCTTGACCAAGAACAAATGTGTTCGGCTCGTGGCCAGGGCTGCACAGGTGGAAGCCTCCAGAACATCAAGTGGGTGGCCCCTTCTCTGTCCCCTCTTCCTGTCTGCTTTCCTGACGGCTGGACAGAGACCGGACCCCGAAGCTTGGGCACCCACCATTCTTGCCAGCCTCAGTGTCCTGCAGGAATCCATGGAGAGGGCCTCCAAAAGGACCCTGGAGGCCAGGCTGAGCCTTAGGCCTCCAGAACCAAGAAGACACAGCCTTCCTGTAACACAGCCAACATATATTGAGTGCCTACTATATGCCATGTGCCGGGGGGTAGTAGAAAGCCATCGGCAGGCAGCGCTCACAGCTGAGGGAGCACTTGTGGCATCCGGAAGGGCGGTACCCGCAGAAGGGAAGCAGGACTCTGGGCTCTCCCAGCAGACCCTGACCCTGCCTCCTGCCCCTGGCCAGGGCACTGCACAAACCAAACAGTTGGCTCCAGAGGCACCAGCACATTTGAGCTCCCCAGAAGGAAAAGACAGGACGCCAAGTTTAGTTTCCTCCTAACCATCAACCCCACCCTGCCTGCAAGGGGGGAGATGTATATGTATGTGTGAATATGCATA